ATATCTCCCCAATTTCGGTAAAGAAAAGCATGACATGAACATGAACTGGAGGTAATACACGTTAACACTTACCTTCTTTGCGTTCCTTCCTCTTCTCGATTGCGAATCCACTGATTAGACAATTCTTCTAATTTTCCTGCAGTGAGAACAACTGTCGGTAATTTGGGAGCCATCCCACCGCACTCTGATCTCGGCTTGGTCTGATTTACAGTTATCAGGGGTCCTAAGCTGTATCCAGCTAGAGATTAACTTTTCTTTGGTATGAACAATGTTTAAAAATTTTTTAAGCCATTATTTAGAAGTTGTGATATTTCAGATCAAAATCTGGATTTCTGGCTTTTCTTTAGAAATAGAAATGTCAAGCACCACTGGGGCCTGCGTTCCTACTTGGCAGCAATCCACAGAGATGGAGGCAGCTGCCCCCGTTACGTGCCCACGCACCTTACTGTACTCTCCACTCAGCCCACCTCTCACGTTTATGTCACCTGCCTGGCCCCACGGAAAATCAGAGTGTGAGGCCCCTGGGTATGGTGACTCTTCTGTCATTTCCTGGATATAGAAAACTGTTTTCTAAAAGCAGGTTCATGGAGGTTCCAGTTACCTTTCATGTTTTCAGTTTGCTCATTCAGGCGGATTTCAAGAACTTGCTTCTGTTTCTCCAGTTCTGAAATTTGCTGTTTAAAGTCTGGGATCATCTTTAGAGAAGAATTAGAAATATTAGAACATAAAGTACCTTAATCTGTGAACTTTCAAAACTCAGAGCTACTCAGAAACAAATTTAACGGTATAGATGTTTAACCCCATGAAGCAAATGTCTACTTAGTGGTGTCAGAGGGACAGCCAAGACATTAGATTGGATTAGTGTTGTGATTTTTTTACCCCAAAACCTGTATAATCACAAGAAATACCAGCATGCTCAGAGGGAGCGGTTCTCACATAGCCTGGACCCCCATATCACCGAGGCCTCCTGGGGAGAAGGAAGTGTAGTGTCTGGGAATCCTATGCTGAGTTGAGGGAGGGTTTATGTAAAGAAATGGCAGCCAGCCTCTTTGCTCCAGGCCCTGAGACCTTATCTCCTCATCTAGAGACAGGAAACTCATCTCAAAAGCTTCCTACTGCACCCTTTGAATTCCAGGCTGTGCTTTGTTTGTGGAGATCTGGAGCCATGTAGGATGTTTCACAATCCTTTGTCTTTGTCTACCTGTATGGTTCTTTAAATATCCATCCCCTCCAGTCTTAAGGAGGTAAAAACAGTGTTTCTGTGGTCCAAGTTTATAAAAACACTCATGCCTCTGAAGTTCAAATGAAGAATATGGGTTTAATCGTGCAGTTGGGTCTCACTGATGCATAGTCCTCATTGACATTCCACCCAAGGAATAAACAAAGGTGTGAAGGTCATTAACTATCATTCCTCACGTCTGCTCTGCCCAGGGTCACGTCTCCTCATCTATTGACACAGCCCTGATTTCCTAATATTCCCAGGTTAGGCCGATGGGAAGGAGACAATAAAGAAGCTGAGCAGGAGCAGCCAAAGAGGTAGGATGAGAAACCTAGGAGAGCGTGGTGTTCTGGAAACCACCAGGACAATATGGAGGGAGAGGGAGTGATTACTGTCATTAAATCCTGCTGAGACTAAGATGAGGGTGAAAAGAAGCCTTTGTGCTCAGCTTGGTGTAAGATTCAGTTAGTGGTAGGGACACATGACAGAAGGGGATGGCCTAGTACAGTAAATGAGAGGTGAGTGGATACATCACAGTTGGATGTCCATTGAAAAGTCTGGCTAACTCCCCCCACAAAAATGGGGTGGTGGTCACAGGGGATGTGAGGTCAGAAAGGGATGTGTTTTCAATGGCTCAATTGTACAAGATGCTACTTCCTCTTGTACTTGCCTTGCCAGCTCCTGCCAAAAGGCCTTTGCCCAGGGCTGTTAGCTTAGATTCCACGTCAGGTGTCACTGCTTCAGAGACACTTTCCTTTCTTCGCTGTCCTCCCTAACTAGATCAAATCAGAACCTCACAGAATGTGTGGGGATTATTTTAGGTAAAAAATTTATCAAAGTGTATACCTTAAATACGTGCAGTTTATTGTATGTCAATTATACCTCATTAAAGTTGTTTTTAAAAAATAGAGAGAAAAAAGAAATGGATGTGTTTTGAGTGAAGAGATTCCTAAAGCATTTCTCCATGCCAATAGGCATGAGTTAGAAGAAAGAATGAGTGCTGGCCGAGTGGCGCGTTGGTTAAGAGTTGGCTTGGGATGCCAGCTCTGAGCACCAGGGCCCCGGTTCGGATCCCACATGAGGGTCAGTGACGCTGCGCCCTCTACAGCTAAGATGGTGAACAACAGCTCGACCTGGAGCTGCGCTTCCATGAGTTGCCGGCGACGGTGTAGGCTGCAGCCCCTGCTGCAGTGGGGTACTGTAAGCTACTATGAGTGGCTGGCAGCTGGCATGAGCTGCCCTGAGCCGCCGTCCGATAGCTGGCGAGCAACTGCCTCACCCAGGAAGAACGCAATGATAATACCAACATGGGCAAGTGAAGTCGACATCCTCCACAACTACACTGAAGAACCAGAGGACAGCAACTTGTCTGTTCCCCTCCCCCAATTCCCCAATGCTATTTTCCTCCCCTAATTCCCCAATTTAAAAAAAAAAAAAAGAAGAAGAAAGGATGAGACATATACAATGGCACAGACATGCATCACATAAGGAGGTCTTTAAAAAGGTATAATGAGGAGCACCAGTAGAGATTCTGACCTGAACACATGACCCTCTCAAGAGTTACCCTTTACCTTAATGTTTTGCTGTCTTTCCAAGGGTTAGGGCTAGATTTAAGATACATAGACTTAAACACACACACACACACACACACACACACACACACACGCACACGCACACGCACACGCACACGCACACGCACAGAATTTGGACCCATTCTATGGTAAATAAATACTCTCAAATTAAAGTGCTCTTTAGGCTGGAGTAATTGTATATTTTTTCTTCTGACCCAGTTATTTCACTCCTAGAAAATGTAACTCTGATGCAATCTTTTACTGCTAAGAAACTGAATTTTACTCCACTAATGGATACCATCTCTAGAATAATGGCCACGACCAGCGCCCATGGCTGAGCCCATACCATGTTTTCTGATGTTAGCCTGGTAACTTCATGACGAATACTTTCATTGATGTCATTCTCTTCTCTAAATAACTTCTGCAGGTGGTTGATTTCTTGACTTAGATGAACCACTTTGAAGTTCAAAGCTTCAATCTCCTTTTCATAGCAATCCTTCTGGGACTGGAAATGGCTCTCCAAAACGCTATTAGGAGAGGGACCAGGAAGTTAACCATGTGGCCTTGACTCCGCTGTGCTGGTGACTGTGAGCATGTGCATGTGTGGCAGTCACGAATGCCACAGTTAGAGCCTATGCTAAGCCCAGAGAGTTTTCTTTTCTTTTTTTTTTGAAATGTAATTTAAAAAATTTTTTTCCAAAGAGTATACCTCAGAGAGTATTCTAAAAACATTTATCTAAATAATATTGCTTGTTTTCTATTCATTAGCAGATTTTTAAAGATTATATTTTGTCAACCAATATGATAAAATAAAAATGTATCTCTTCTCATTATAAGCATAATCATAATATTACATAGGTTATTGATCTCAGAGAGTTTTCATATGTGCACATTCTTATAGGCTATGGAATTAGGGACCTAGAATTATGAAATCCTTCTAGCTAGCTAGGAAGCCTTGTATGATGTTAGCATGCAGTTAATGATAAGACATTTTATTTTAGACATTATTAAAATTATGTTTTTTACTACAATAGTTTAAAAATATGTTCTATATGAGGCAACAGTGGTAAAGATACATGTCATTATACATTCATCAAACGACACAGAATGTATAGCAGTAAGAGAACCTTAATGTAAACCATGGTGATTATGATGTGTCAGTGTAGGTTCATCAGCTGTAACAAATGTACTCCTGGTGAGGGATGTTGGTATTGGTCGTGCAGGTGTGGGGGCAGGAAGTGTATGAGAAATCTCTGTACTTCTGCATAATTTTGCTGTGAACCTAAAACTGTTTAAAAAAATAAAGTTTATGCATGTAAAAAAATGCAGCAAACTCCTTTAATTTAAACATATGTATATATCTATAGAAACACTGGCTAACTTATTTGATATAATCAGTTTTCACTGTACAGGTTATGGGTTTTATCACTCAGCAGTTTATCCCATAAAGAGATTGTTTTTCACTACGAAACTATTTAATTCTTGAAGAAATACTCCCAGTGATTATTAGACCATTCTAGTATAAGAAATTTACGTTGTGTATCAAATCTATGTAAGATAAACATCTGACTTTCCAATAGTCTCTTATCACTGAGAAATCAAAAGGAACCTGAGTGGGATTTCTCACCGTGTTGCCTTCTTGAGTCCTTCATAAGCAAACCAAAGTTCTCCATCCTCATTTAAATGTTCCAAATCTTCCACCGAGAGCCTAGGAAATAAGAAGGGTAAGCAAATCTATCATCTTTCTCATGTGTTACATGTTTCTAAACGTTTGATAATATAAAAATGATTACCTGCTTCTTACATCTTTAATGTCATAGCTTTCAAGAAGTTGTTTGGTGATCTCTGACATCTTTTCTGAAAGGAAAAGCCAGAGCTGGTATCAATTACACTTTTGCATGGTTTTCCTTCTCCCATTTTTAGGGCCCAGTTTTCCAACTTCGCAGAGGCTTCAGTGAATCATCCCATCAACTCACTAATTGACCAGCTCTTCAACCAGCCAGCTAACCAACCAACCAACTAACCAAGCTACCAGCTGTGAAGCCAGCCAGCTATTCATCCCACCCCATATCCAGTCAGTGGACACATTTCCTTAGCAGGGACTATTATGATAAACTCCCTCTGCACCCCATGGGCTCATGATTCATTTTTTTGTTACCTCTCATTTCCCGTTTCTGTGACTGCACATGCTTCTCCACATCTATCTTCTGTGTTTGAAGAAGCTCTATCTCCTTTTCAAACTCAGAGATTGTCTGAATCACAGCAATGACCACACCAGGTGAAGAAAAAAATAGCTATTATGATTTATATCAGACAAAGGAAATATCTTTACGGTACTGTGTGTCTATGCAAGGTGTCCTCACTGCAGTTTCTTAGTTAAAATCTTGTTAGAGCATCACTGCACATACAGTCTGGTCTTGAAACATGTTTAACTGCTTAAAATATTGTCGCTTATTCCCAGATCTACCCAGTTGTATCAATAGAATTAGTTTCTCTACTTAAAGGGAAACAATAACCACTTACTACAAGCTTGAGTGGGAAGAAGGGGAGCTGAGAGAAGTAAAATCTGAACCCTCTTTCACTGTGTGGTGAAATGTTGGATGCAAGGATGTGGGCAAGGCGGCCACCTTCAGAGTGGTGGGCTTGGGCTCCAGCTAGGTTCAGAAGCGGCACAGCAGCACAGCCAGGATGTGCCCGGAGCTGGGAGCTGGCCGTGGGGGTTTGAGTGCGGTGCACCGAGGGGCGGCTCTGCTTGTGGGGAAGAAGCTGTTTTCTGCTTTTTTTCACCTTGTGAGCTCAGCTTGAGTAAGGATCTCAGGTTTGTGTTTTTGTAGCTATAAGAGACTCGCAGGGGTGAATAAACCCTCCTTGATATTTTCTCAGTCTACGTGTTTAAGGGCTACAGCTCCTGTTTCTACAGGTGCTGAGAGAGGAGATCAAATTGACATTTACTGATGACTTTGCATATATAATCTCATCCTTATAACAGGCCCGCAAGGTGAGGAGAGTGATCTTTTGTAGATTAGATAACTGTGGCTTCAGAAAGAGCAAATGGCAAGTTCAGGGTTGCCCCCCGATGGGGCCCGAAAGCCCTGCTCTTTGTCATGTTTCAGTAGATGTTCCAAGTCATATGTGCATCTACTTGTAGACGGATTGTAACAGGTATAACTTGATGATGACAGGTTTGTTTTCTTTGAAAATCAGATTAATCTCCTTAATGTACCACATTGGAGAGTTTGAACTGACATTTTAGTTACCAAAGAAAAGTAAGTGATGGATACTGGCGCCCTACTCCAAGTGCAGCCACATGATTTCTCATGATACAGACTGTAGCAGATGACGTGATCACCACAGATGGACATCAGTCTTACGTGACTGCTAAGAATGAAGCAGTCATAGGAACGTGTGATCCTTCCTGATCCCATGGTCCAATCTCTTACTTTTAAACCAGGGCACAGAGAATATGGACAGCTCTGCGCCGAGGTTCAGGGGCAACCCAGATGCAATTCCTAATGCTCTTCTAAGCCACACAGGCTATTCTATGACAGTTAAAGAGAATATTTGCATAACCTTAACAAATATGCTACTAACACGTGTTTCACATATTTAGTGGAAGCTTAAAATTTCCAACCTTACACTGAAATGTTTTGCGTTTAAGAACATGGGGACACATAGGTTTGTGTTTTCTGGTAGAGAAGGAATGCAATTAAGTCTGATTGTTCAAACATAGATCATTGCTTTTGTGGGATTTTTCTGATAACAGTTTAAAATGTAAGATTCTGATAATAAGGTGATTGAATTTTAATACAGGTATGTATAGATATATAACAACATGATGGATTGTATAATACTGGTTCATGTCAATTTATAATTTAATTTGGACCTATCTTGCAAGTCAACATATTTGAGTAACTTCATAGAAATGTAATTTTTAAAAAGTTAGAAAGCTGACCTTTAAAATATGAAAAAAACCAACAAAAAAATCTATTGCTAGGTCAAAGGCAGCTTGGGGGTTACACCTGGAAGAGCTGAAGGAGCCAGGGCCCTTTTGCCTTTGGCCTTCACACAGGTGCTCTTAGCTGTGTGATCCTGTGGGAATGTGAAACTGCTCCCTCCATGCAGGTGAACTGACTCAGCCAAAGAGCTCATCCATAAGTGAGAACGGCTTCTACCTTTGCCTGCTTGCTCAGTCGGGCCACCTCCCCTTTTAAGCCATCAGAAGTGACACGTTCTTCCTCCACCTGATGCTGCAGTTGCATTTTCTCATCCTTGAGAGCTTTACTTTCTTCTTTCAAAGCCCAGATCTGCTTCTCATAGTCTTGTATTTTTAGTTCAAAACTTTTTTCAAGGAGCCTGGGGCACAAAAGGGAAAAATAATTAATTTACAATTGTCCCTAAAGTCTTTACACTGAATTAGAACTATACATCATTTTGAAAATAATAAGAGGAGGCTTGGAAAGGAGACAAGCTCATTAGGCTCTATTGTGACAGTTACAATAGACACTGGCCTTATTTTTAGCTGACTATTTCCTGTTAAGGGGACCTCTTACTCCTTCTGACCTGAGAAGTGTGGCTCTACAATGGTTATCCACAGGAAACACAGGACAGGGAAGCTGAAGTTAATGACTCGGTGCTGGTTGGGGTACTGTGTTCCCAAAGCTACCCTGGTTCCTGTGGTCCCCTGGAGGGGCTACTTCCCTCAGCAAGGACCTTGGCATATTCTGCCCAGTCCTGGCACCTGCCAAGCTCCAAGGATTCTGAAGGGGTTTGGCTTGGTCCTAAACAAGTGAATACAGTCATTTAATATGTCAAAGGGTTCAGCCCTTCCAATATTCTAAAATAAATCACAGCATATCCAGTTGCCCCAAAGTCTACAAAAACCCAATTCCTTGTGAAACACTTGTTCAATTAAATATGGGAAGACTGACCAAGAAAATAATGGAAGAAAGATACATGCCCTACACCACCAGCCTAATACCACCCTCGGGGGCCCAGTCAGAATTGAAGCAGTCCTAGGAGCTCTATGAGTCTATTAGTCATCATTCCACTTGCTGGGCTGACATCAATTCATTAGATAACTTGCTTTTATAGCACAAAGGGAAAAACACCAAGGAAGAGTCATATTCCCACTAGGTAGTTTCACTTCCTTTTATAGATACTAACAAACTTTTAAACGTTGTATTCAGGTTTTAAAAAAACCTGCAGTGTTTCAAAGAGGCCAGTGAAACATGTTTGAAAAAGCAGGCTACAACCAGAAGTCTCATGTGATAAGAATCTTAGATTTGCAGCCTAAACTGGTCAGGTGTGCACCCACAGGCTGGGGGCATCTTTGCCTCTTTGAGGGTTGTGACAGGGGCCAAGACTTCCCCAGTCAGCTACAGGTGAGTGCTGAAGAGGACCGTAAAGAGCTCAAAGTGACCTGCCTCAGCAGGCTCTCCAAGCCCCTTGCTTGAAATGATCACTCCCAATTGGCCCCAGTACACAGCGAGATGCGAAGAACTGCAATCCTCTTCTAGAGTTAAGAGGTCATTGAAAAATAGATTTTTCAAGGTAAAAGGTCAAATATTTCTATTTTGATTTTTTTTTTTTTAAGCTGAGCCATCCTGCCACCTGTTGGCATCTCAGCAGCTGCTCAGCTCGGGCCAGGAATCTAACCGCTGTTGCTCAGAGCTCAAACTCTTGAGCGAGCTCTTAACCAACTGAGCCACTCAGAAGGCCCAGAATATCTCTATTTTAAAACTAATGTAGGACCATAAAACATCGTATGTATTTCTTAGTTCTTGGAGCTCTCAGTGACACTCCTTCCCCTAATTTTTTGGCATCCTGCCTCTTACCCAGGCTCAGCCTCTTCTGCTAACTAGCTGCATGGGGAAGTTGTATATCCTATCCCTCAGGCAGCCCTGAGCTTTTTAAGCCCCCAACAGGAATATGCCAAGAATGTCCCCTCTCTTCCCAACACCCTGCCACACATCCCAATTTTGCTAAGATCTAACACCTTTCAGTTGACTTCTTAAGAGAGGGAACATGGATTGGAGTCTTTGGAGATTAACAAAGAGTTTGATATTGACATAGGAAAGGTGGAGCTGCCTTAATTTTTGTGAGGGGGTTTCTATCCCTTATTGTCTGGGCAAGAGTTAAGTTAACAGATATAATAGATGGCGGAAGTGAGGAAGGCTTATTTCCTGGGCAATAATCTTACTTCATGGACTTGATGGAAGTTAAAAGGATAGCAGTCTCTTAACTTCTCACTGTCTTAGCAATAAAGGGAAAGCAAGAAATTCCCAGGGGCCCACTGCCCACAATGGCAAATCTGTGCCTGTCTGAAAGGTTCACACTGTGGGATTTGTCTCTCACTTCCCAGAAATATTCACACCCTGCTCTCCTGTATCTGTGATCTGCTCCCTGCAAGCTGAGAAGCAAAATATAAAACAGCAGAGAGAGAAAGAGGCAGTAGTTTTAAGGCAAAGTAGATTTCATACATCCTTTGTTGTTGTTCTTTTTGTACATCATCAAAGAGCTGCTTGGTGAGGTCGTCCATTTTTCCTGTGAAAAGAGAATGCTTTTTGAAATATGTCTGCAAACCAATGCCTTGATATATTCTCATCCTAAGTCTTATTAGTGATAAATACCCCATGATTGTTCTTACATTTTCACTTTCTTAAATATGACATGAATCTAACTTCCACTTCTATAAATTAGAAATATTGGTAAGTGGGGCGGGGGGGGGGTGTTCAAAATAATAATTCTCACAAATTTGTCAGGGTTGGAATCTATGAATAGTTTCATTTATAGTACTTTATTGGTCTGAATATCATTTGTTTGATTAAAATAGGCATATTGGCTTTGAGATAATAAATATTATCATTAAAAGCAAACAGGAATCCTTCGGTTAAAAAATGATCAATTTATGATAGGGTTTCTCAATGTCAGCACTATTGACACTTCAGGCTGGGTAACTCTTTACTGGGGAGAGGGGGCCATCCTGTGCACTGCAGGGTGTTGAGCAGCATGCCTGGCTTCTACCCACTTGGAGCCAGTAGCACCTCTGTTCCAGTGGTGACAACCAAAAATGTCTCTAGGCATTGCCAAATGTCCCCTAGGGGGCAGAGGTGAACAAAAGTGCCTGGGTTGAGAACCACTCATTCAAGGTAATCAAGAAAATAATAAACTGCCTGTCTTCATCTTGGGAGAGAAGTATAAAAAGATGCTGCTGCCTTTGAATACAAGAGTCTCTAACACAACGTGCAGGCTGAAGGGACCCTGCATAACCGGGAAATGGTCACCGGGGTTCTGGACCTTCTCTGGCTATGAGAGCCCCACGGTCCCAACACGTCCACATACAACAGGGGCCCTTCACAATGGAAGCAGGATGACAGACGCAGCCCATCAAAGCCCGATGTCCCTGTTTGTACTTAGCTGACACCTCATTCGCGAATTCTGCCTCATTTCTGAGTCCTGCCCCAGAGGGAAGCCCAGGGGTGAGGTGATGATAGCAATCTTCCAAATTACTCGGTTAAAAAAAAAAGCCAACAGTTTAATAGTTTGTCTAAGGCATAGTCACATGTCCCTGAATCAAATCGATTGCTTTAGAATGTCATGCGTCAGCCAGATAATAGAAGGCACAGAGTAAAGTGAAGGCTGGTGCTTTTCACAAAACATTGCTTGGCATGTGTAGGGAGACCCTCTGGACAAGCAGTTTATAAACACTGGGTTTGAAAGTTTTCACATACTTTTTAGAAGGAGGTATCAAATCATCCACCCAAACATGTCAACACTGTCAAATACCGTATTTCCCTATGTATAAGATGCACCTTAATTTTGGGGCCCGAAATTTGAAAAAAAATATATTACGTAAAGTTATTAAACTCAAGTTTTGTTGTTGTTTTTTTAAAGATTTTTATTGGGGAATCGGGGAAGGGGGACAGACAGGTAGACAAATTGTTGTTTTGTTCTTCAGTCTAGTTGTGGAGGACGTCACTTCACTGGCCCATGTTGGTATGATCATTGTGCTCTTCCCAGGTGAAGCAATCGGTCGCCGGTCATTGGTCCGGCCACTCACAGCGGCTCCCAGTAGCTCACACCGGCTACCAGTCGCTCACGCTGGCTGCCAGCCACTCACGTAGCTCATGGCAGCCCACTGCAGCCCTGCTGCAGCCTATGCTGTTGCCAGCGACTCACAGAAGCCCAGCTCCAGGTCGAGCTGTTGTTCACCATCTCAGCTATAGAGGGCCAGCGTCACTGGCCCTCAATGTGGGATCCGAACTGCAGCCCTGCTGCTCAGAGCTGGTGCTCCCAAGCGAGCTCTTAACCAGCTGAGCCACTTGGCCAGCCCGAACTCAAGTTTTATTCATCATAAAATTCATACAATTCCTCATCACTGTAAAAAAATCTACAACCACTGTATAAGGCGCACCCAGTTTTTAGACCCCAAATTTTTCGAAAAAGGGTGCGTCGTATACATGGGGAAATACGGTATGTAATTTTCAGAACACACTGCTGAGAATTCAAATATTCTTGTGGGAAATTCCATTTAAAGTTAGAAAAAAGAACTAATGCCCAAGAGGAGTGTATTATAATAATAAAAGGTGGCAGTGGGTAAGCCCTTCCCTAATTCAGGTTCAAGGCTTACTCACAGACTGCCGACCTCCCTCTGTTCGTTACCACCCACATCATCAGTCCTTAGAGACAGGGTGGAGGGCACACAGTATCTGGAGCAGGAGGGCACGCCCATCCTTGGCAACGTCCGAATGGCCTTTCCTGCTCAGCTGGCCAGGCTCAGGATGTTTACTTCCTCCTATGGACATGGCCTCTCCTGCTCTCTGACCTGAACCCCAAGGGCTCCTGTTCTCCTCTGGATTCTGGTGTATCCAGGCCCTGCTGGACCTGGGGTGTGTGCCAGATCCCCAGGCCCGAACCCTTGTGCCTTGTGCTCCACATCAGAGCCTATGGAAAAGATCCCTGGACAAGACAGATAATCGAGTGTGCTGATTTCAATTATCTGATCAGGAACCACCAGACTCATGTTCCTGTTGGAATTTAGTAAGCGCTTGTGATTAGAATTCAAGTTGGAAAGCTTTGAATGGATGGAGCTAGGCTCAGGGTGCTGCTCCACACCCCTAAATGAAAGTGATGCCACCACTGGTTCCACGGGTCTGTATCTGACAGCCTGCAGGTGGTATGAATCCTAATAAGCAGGGCCCTTCATTTAAGGCCAGGGCAGTGGCAGGGGTGGAAGTACCACGTAGACCAAGTAACTTGGACAGAGCTGAAATGTGACTGCAAATCCCTGGCAAGCAACAAACATTACTCCAACATCACCCCAACTGTGCATCACGATTACCACAAAGTTTAAAAAAAAAATACAGACGTCTGAACCACCCCTGCTACCACCATCCACAAGCACACACGCACACACACACACACACACACACACACACACACACACACACACACACCCCCCATATCCCGATGAAAAAGCTCCAAGTTTATGGCCCAACCATCTGTGCTTTGCGAATGGCCCAGGAGGGGCTGTGCTGTCTGACAAAAGATAGGAATAAAAACAGATGAATCTGTAGGGTAAAGTTACCACAATTTAAATAGTTATTTTCTGTGGGGCAAAAATTTTCTCATCACACTAAATATACACTAGAGAGTCTTGATTCTGCCTAAAACTCAGTTCACACCCAAAAGTTATTTCCAGAACAACTGGACAAGTGAACTCATGGATGTGCAGATCAGGCCACCTTGGGCTTTACCTTTCAGCTCTTCAGTCTGCTCCTGTAGCTTCCGCTGTATTTGCTCTTTTTGTGTTTCCAGTTCTGAATTATGCTTCTGAAGCTTTGCCAATTTCTAGCAAAGGGAAAGAAAAAAAAACTTTTTTGAAAATACTCATTTCAAGTTTTGTTACCATTGCCTTTCTTGGTGAAAAGTTGTATTTTAAAAAAAATATATATATGCACACATTTTCTTGGCCTCAGCTCCTATCCATGGATAACAAACCAGCACCAGCCCACCGCATCACACTGCATTCACTTTCACATGCAAGGGCCCCATGTGACTTCAAACAGACACTAGTTTCCAACCTGGCCCAGCAATGGCTGAGAGCAAGGAGAAAGAACTAAACTTAGGTCTCCTCAAAGTCAAGGAAACTCCTCTATCCTTTTCGTGAGCTTCTCAATAACCAGGGTATTTATATATCTAATATAAATTACTTATGATATAACACAGATTCACACTTCGAGAGTGTTATCACTTAGTAAAGAGGTGTGATCATGACAGAATTTCTATTATTTTAGCTTCTCTTGGTCAAGTGTCTGCTGGGCTGGAAGCTGGGGCCCCTTGGTGCTGATTGATGGTTGGTGCCCAGCAGTGTGAGTGATGCCAGCAGCTGTGTTGGTGCAGCCGGGTGTGCATCCACGGGGAGGGCAGAGGAACGCCCTGGGGCTCCAGGCTGCCACAACCCTGGATGCTGTAGGACTTTGGAAAGTGTAGGAGAATGGACAGTAATAAAGACCACATCAGAAAATATTAGCTCATGCCTGTGCATGACTCTATGATAGGCATTTGGCTAAATTATCTCATCTGACAATTTCATCCTCACCACATCTCTGTCAAGTCCCCTTTTGCTATTCCTATTTTATAGATGAGGGAACGAAAGTTCAGAGAGGGTAAGGGACTTGCCTACGGTCACCCAGCCAGACAGCAGCAAAGACAAGACTAAACCTGGGACATTGGACTTTTATGGCTCCTGCTCTTTTTAATACACCAGAGAGATAAAAACCTGCCCCAGGCTTTGCACTGCTGTTCTGGGGAAGATGCTTCGGAGGACACACCAGATGGGCAAGCAACAGGGAACCAAGGTCACCCTGGAAGAGACGGAAGCATGTGGCCAGGGATCCTTCTTGGCCTTTTTTACTTTAAAAAAGTTGAAAGGAAGAGGAAAACTTGTGTTTCTTAAAGCCTGAACCTCTTCCTCTCCCCCAGACGCTAGGGCTCTGCCCGCCCCTCCCCTAAAAGGAGGCTCCCTCTGGTCATGGAAGCCAATAGCAAAATCTGCTCGGCTCTTCAGAACCCTGCTTTGTGGGGAAATGCTGCGCTCTAGTCCCTCCTATGGAAAGACTCCCAGGTATTGCCGGAGCCCCAGCCAGCACAGACCTCTTCCACAGTGGCCTTGTATCTCTTCCCCTTCTCCTCGTAATTGTTTCTGTGGGCAATGGCTCTGTCCAGCTCCGATTCCAGTTTCTGAATCTTCTCCATGTCACTGGCCCGAACGGCAGCCAGGCTGGTCAGCTTCTCCACCAGCCCGTGGTTCTCTTTGTTCTACAGAAAAGTAACAGCAGGTGCTTAGGGGTTTATCGCAAGTAGAAAAGCAGTTCCATTTGCTTCTCACAACCTTTCCAGTGCTTCGTCACACAGATGACGTTTATCATCACGATGGCATGCATACATGCACATCTGCACCCCAGGGATGATAGCCAGGCAGATCTTGTTAGGCAAATGGGTTCCAGCACTGGTAGCTCTTCCAGTTTGGGGGCCGTCCAGTTCTGGAGCTCCAGGACCACCCTAGTGTTCTGGGCTGAACTGTGTCTCCCACCGCACCCCAGAATTCACATGGTGAAGTCCTAATACCAGCACTTTGGAATGTGATTGTATTTGGAGATATTTGGATGGTATTTGGAGATTGTATCTGTAAGTACATCATTAGAGATGTAATTGAGGTAAAACGAGCTCATGGAGGCGGGCCCCAAGTCAGCATGGCTGGTGTCCTTATACGAAGAGGAGATTAGGACACAGGCATATACAGAGGGAAGACGATGTGAAGACACAGAGGGCAGATCGTCATCTGTACCCCAAGGAAGAGACAACTCAGTAGAAACCAGTTCTGCCAATACCCTTGGACTTCCCAGCCCCCAGATCTTGATCTTGGACTTCCCAGCCCCCAGAGCTGTGAGAAAATAAATGTCTGTTGTTTAAGCCCCCCTGTGTAGTTCGTGGTAGTTTGTAATGGTAGACCTAGCAAACCAATACGCCTAGAATGGAACCCAGGCAGTATTGGGACTCCCACAGGCCCTGCTCCCAGGTGGTCATGGCTGTTTTCCAGTGCGGCTCTTCTGCATAAGCCATATAACACATGGGCCTGTTACACAGCGCACAATGAGGGAAAATTGCATCAAAACCTCACATCTATTTGTTTGCACATTCCTCCATTCACAAAGGACCCCTATGGTATAGTTTAGGGCTAAATTTAAAGTTCAGCTTAGGAGAAGCTCGGTATTAACTGAGACAGGTCCAGGAGTGAGTTCTATAGATCTGGATGCTGCATTTTCTGCACCCCTCGCTCACTGGCCGACCGCATGTGGATTTTTTTCCCTACCAGTGAGAATGGCATGGGGAGTCTTCCCAAATTAGGGAGGGCTGCAGCTAGATCATATGGACCTTTGGGCAAATTAGAAAATGATAGCTCTCCTGGGCCAACGCAGCCCTGAGGGAGCATGGTTTGGCACTCAGACAGCAGCTTTGTGCAAATTTTAAAAAGGTGCTCCTGCTTCAAGGTAGCCCAGCTTTGTGCCAGGACATGTGGGTTGGCAAACAGAACCAGGCTGGATTTCAGCCCCACTTGCCCTCCTGGGCAGCTGCCCTTGTGCAGTGTACAACATACACCACCATATGGGGCAGCCCTTGACAGTGTGCTTCTGTTTTCTAGCTCAGGTGGTCCACGTAAACTGTTTGAACCTTCTGACGTGGGTATAATAAATCTTAACTGCATGGCTAAGCAACTGGCCCAGAACAAAATATATCTGTTAGAAAAAGTAACCATGAAAGATGTGTTATGAACAGCTACCTGATCTTCTAGCTTTTTCTGCAAACGCTGGACCCTGTAAGTAAGCTGAATGTTGAGCACGAATCGCCGGATATTCTGGAATCTTCGTCTGGCCAGCCAAGCCCGAGCGTATTTCTGAAGGATCACAGCCTTGTGTTCCTCTAGCATCTTTAAAACAAGATTTTGTGAAATGAGAGCTGGATCTCCATCCACTCTTTGTCTCATCAACTCCTCTAATGTTGGGAGATGCAACTACCAAAATATTCCCACTGTGTCCCACATGAATTCTTGTAGTCAACCCACAGACTTTTGAAACAATAATAAATTCCACCTGTAGCAGATGTGTACGGATAGACATTCACATACCAGAACTCCCTGCTTTTCATGAAGAAAAACTATCTCAGTACAGGCATACCTCAGAGATACTGTGGGTTCAGTGACTATCACAATAAACCGAGTCACACAAACTTCGGTTTCCCCGTGTGTATAAAAGTGGTGTTTACACTATACTGTAGTCTGTTAAGTGTGCAATAGCATTGTGTCTAACAAAAAGCACATACCTTAATTAAAAAATACTTTATTGTTAAAATATGCTAACCACCATCTGAACCTGTTGGAAAAATGGTGCCAATACATTTGCTCAAAACAGAGTTCCCACAAACTTTCAATTTGTAAAACACAAAACAAAACAGAACAAAATGCAGTATCTGTGAAACACAATAAAGTGAGGTATGCCTGTACTGTTGGTGAAAAATAACACGAGCCCTGGGAAACCTGTGTCCCCAAAAAAGCATGTGGTCTCAGCCGCACCTTTCGATACCTCCTCCTTGCCAGGAATCCGCGGGTGTAGGCCTGGATGGTGATGGTGGCCACGCGAATCAGTTGGTACAAATTGCGAACAAGATATCCACGACAGTGCTTCTGAATGATGATGGCTGCCCACGCCTCTTTCAAGGCCGTTGCAGTAACAGCTCTCCTGAGTTAAGAAGAATGTGGAGTCCATCCGTTATTCACAGAGCACTGACCTCCACTACAGCGTGACACACTTGGACAGCTCTTTGGGCAACTACTGAGGAACAGTGAAATGTTTTGCTGATCTACCCATTAAACACTGTAAGTGACGTATTCTAAAACCTATGTGGGATCAGTCATCCTTACTTCCACTTTCTCCCCAATCTGAATGTGGGTCTGCTCCAGGCATGAGGAAACACATGGGAACATTCACACTCTTCTTATCCAGGACGATCCATCCACTCACAGGCCCACAGAGACCACGGGGGTCGTAACAACAAAACTGTGTTTTGGCATTCACTTGCCCGTTCATCTATTCCTTCTTTCTTGTGGGAAATCCTGCCAGAGGCTCTAGACCAGGGCTGGCAAACTATGGCTGGGAGCCAAACCTGCAGCCTCCCACCTGTTACTGTTAATGGATCAGAACACAGTGACGCCTATTAAATACATACTGCCCATGGCTGGTTTCATGCTATAACAGCAGAGGCGAGTGGTTGTGGGAGAAACTGCAGGGCCCTCAAAGCCCAAGGCATCTGGCTCTTATAGAACAAGCTTGTCGACTCCTATCCATGTGATTGGAGGAAAAGACCAAGTTCTCACCTTCAGAGTTTACAGCCTCATGCAGTAGACAGACTTATAAATGGCCAAATGGCATATGAGAAAAATAAAATAACTACCGAAAGTCTTGCTTGGGAAAGGCTGCCGTGTGAGCCAGCCTTTGACATAAAAGGATTTCTGAAGACGGTGAAGGTTGGAAAAGGCGTTACATGCTGAGGGATGAGCAAAGAAGGCATGGAGGCCTAGCAGTGCCTGAAATATTCAGAAAAAGAGAATCTGGAATTGCTAGAATATAAGGTACATGAAGAAAATTTGTAGTCAATGAGGCTAGAAAAATAGATGGGGATTTAAAAAATATATATCTATATATCTATATATATGGACACCTATTATGTGATAGGCACTGTGCTAGGTTCTAGGTACAGATGTTATGGGAACCAGGCAAGTATGGTACCTATATCTTCACGGAGCTTCTATTCTTATGAATGCATCTAGACCACAGAGGCCCTGAGTGCCATGTCAAAGACTGAATGCTATTCTGTAGGAAACAGGGGCCACTGGAGGCATTAAAGGCAGCTGCAGGGCAGTGACTCGATCAGGACTTGCTTTAGGAAAACAGGGGAGAAAGGTGGCAGCTGAAGGGCTGGGCTGTTCGAGGGTAAGGCAAGCAATGATGAAGGCCTCGTCCAGCACTGGCGCGTGGGAATAGAATGAATAGAAAGAGGCAAGCACTGAAGGAGGGGTAGAATTACCAGGCCTTGGTGACTCCCCAACGGAATGGGAGCGTGGGTCTGGGGAGGAAGATAACGCTAGGGTTTCCTGCCCAGGAGGCTGTTATTAATTGGGACACACGGGAGGAGAAGCCTGGCTGCATGCGCATGTAGACAGTTGCCTGGGGGAGCGAGGGGTGGAACGGCAAGCGCAGCTTGGGGCATGCTGAGGTGAAAGAGGAGGTGCCAACCACATCTCCATGAAGCCCAGATGTCGCTGTCGGTCAGGCCTCAAGCTCAGGGAGTGACACAGCCTCACCCTTAAACACCTGCCTTCTCAACAATCCTAACAGCATGCCAAGGAAGGAGGCAGGACAGACACACAGAAGTACACAGTGCTACTTGGGAAGGACAGCAGTCTCACTGGCCAGCCCAGCACGGCCTCTTGGGAGTACTCAAGGAGGGATGGGATGGGATGGTAAAGATGGTGGAACTGCCCTCTACTCAGCCATCCCCTTGGGGCACTGCGGTAGCCTTGTCCAGGGGTTCAGCCTTGCCATGGAGCCCCTCAGGCACGGTCTGCTCCGCTCCCACCCCCATCTGCAGGTAGGCTGGTCAGTGGCTATTCACGGCATCTTTGCCCAGGGGCTTCACTAGGTCCCTGGTCATCTTAGGCATTTTCAATTCCCACAGACAAGGGGCCCAGTCCCACTACCTGGTCTCACCCAGAGGCACCTCTGACCCTCCTCAGAGACACCCTGATGGGGCTTCCTCTCTCCAGATTCCTGGTTGTCACCTCCCCACATGGGGACAGCAAGCAGAGTCAGCACTACCTGCCCCCGAGAGACACATCCGCCTCACCTTGAGACTCATGACCACCTCAGGGAGATGCACCCTGGCTCCCAGGAGAAAGGCCATTTGTCTTGGACAGTACCCCCCGCCGGAGGTGACCAGCAGAGATAGCTGTACAAGTCCACAGATCTTTGGTTTCAACATACCTCACGGTTTGCTGACCCCGGAAGTAACGCTGGATTATCAGGGCAGCTTGTCTCTCTCGGAGGAATTTTTTTCTCTGGAGCCAGCCACGGATGTGCTTTTGTATCACAACACAACCCTGCCTCAGTTTATCTAATCGGAGTTTCTCTAAATAAGCCACTTGCCCTGCTCTGAAGAAAATTTTGGTTTTACCGAACTGGTACTGATTAGAATCCTGGAAGAGAAAAATGGTATCGTCAGAAACAAAATCTTCTCAGATTTTCTACATAGTATTTGGAAAAGATGTTTAGAGATTCAAAGATACCAACAACATTGTTATTCTGACATATCTGTTCTTTGACATAAAGCAGAAAACCTCTGATCATGATCTAGAAATTTGTCTTTCAACTTGTTTGTGTAAAGCCACGTTAGGGGAAGAAATGGACTTGAGGTGAAGGTGTCTGTGTCCATCTGTGGGGTGCGAGGGGTGTGCATTCTCAGTGATTCTCAGTTGGGCTGTTGGGGAGCTTCAGCCTCTGATATGTGGTTCCCACAAAAGGGCGAGGTGCCTGAAAAGGCTTGGCTTCTGTCTCCATTTTGGCTTCTCTTCATCACTCTTTTACTGGCCATCATAACTCCTTCCCTAGCTCTTCTCCATCATAACTCATCACTTCAGCAATCATCTAAATCCACGCTGAGCGCCATGTCTGGAAGCCCCCTGGCTTAGTGACCATCTAGTTGACCAGGTAAGACTGTGGGAAAACAAAGCAGGATGGGCGGAGCCTGGGGGAGGCCAGGGTTCAAATCGGGTCACTGCTGTCAGGAGCTGATTCTCTATGAGTGCTCCTGCTTTGAACCCCTTGTCACACAAATGCTTCCGCCACATGTTCCTTCTTAGCTATTCGTGACAACGATGGTTCAGAGACTGAGGCAAAGATGAGGAAACGTGCTTGGGAGATGTGCTTCTCGGTAAGAGCTCATGACTTGGGGTGAGCAAGACTGACCTGGATGAGCCTGTGTAACACCACTTTGCACACTTCCTTTTTATCGCTGAACGAAAGCTCCTGCTTGGTCATGAGGACACCGTAACGACTGTAGAACTCGATGTATGTCCACCTGGAAAGTCAAAGCGGGATCTAAGGAGGCATGCCAGAGAGGGAGCGTGTCGTGTCTGTGCTCCCTGCGGACTTACCTATCTCTGCTGGTGAGGTAGAGGTGGGATAGGGCCTGTTCTGAGAATGATGGCACTGACCTCTGACCCGCCTCCCCGCTGGGACATCACCTGAACCTCACACCGAGCACACCTGTCTGCAACCTGGACTGTTTATGTTAACGTTTCACTCCAACAATTCTCTTCCCGCCCCGCCACCCCCACCCCAGCTCCCATTCCCAGGAGCACTGAGGGGCAGTGGGTGACCCTCACTAGCAGTGGAGATGGGTGATGGGGTGGTGATGATGGCAGCCTCTGCCCCACACACTGCCCGTGTGTCACCCTCTTCCGGCCTTCCCACAGCACAGTGGGACAAATTTTGGGAGCATCTTACAAAAGTATATGACAAAAAACATGGCAGCCACTCCCTTGGTTTTCAGCACAGATGTGAAATTGGGCACTTCGCACCCCCCCCCCAAAAAAAAGACTGAAAATGTACCTGGAAGGGTAGCTCTGTGCACTGATGCGAATCGTTTCTAAAACGCCGCAGGCTCGCAGCTGCTGAACAATTCTTTTGGAGTCAAACCTTAAAGAAGACAATTTTATAATGCATTAAGTTACCATTATAATCAATAATAGCACCTCTGTAAAACAGTTCAGAAAGCTGAGGATACGAGAAAGGAGCAGCTGATTCTGACACAGGGAGAGGCCTTATGAGGGGAAATGGCCTTTGGGTTGGGCTTCGAATGACAAAAGAGTGGAACCTCGTCCAAGTGCCCATCTGATACTCTTACAAGACACCCAACAGGTGGCCCTCTGGCTCAGGTGTGCCCTCCGGTGACCCACAGTCACATTTACCACCTCCATAAACAGCTCATCTCCCTGAGACACCTCTTAGCTTGAGTCAGCTAAAAGGGACTCGAGAACTTCCACTTGTGGGTCTGGAGCCTTTTCCTTGGGGCCCCAGAGAACAATTCTAATGTTGCTATGTTTGAGGGCAACATTTCTGACCCTTCTTTAAAGCCTTCCGCCTACAAACACATACACATTCTTTCATAATCAAGGAACAGGTTCTGGCTTTCACAGTTGTGTCAACTTCAGGTGTAGATTACTCTTTCAAATCTAGCCACTTTGCTTAATCCTAGCGAGGATGTGGCTTCGCCAAAGGGGTTGTGTTAACATTATATGTAAACGGCAGGATTGTTTTGAATCATTTGAAAAGCCAGAAACAGTATATAGTTCAAGACAATTGTAAGCACATTCTCCAACATCATGATAGACACGCTGGATTGCTCAGGGCATTCCCTGTCTGTCTCATGAGAACACTTACTCAAAGGGCAATTTCTCATCGTTGGGTTTGATGCAGCGAACATAGTGGGGCGTGGTTGCGTTGAGGGTCTCCATGAGTAAGGACAGAGAGCTCCGGAACTAGGAGACAAGTCAGGCAACAAACATCAGGCTGAAATGTGATGTTTTAATCGAGGTGGGAAAAAAGGCCCCACCTTGATAAGAACAGGAAAGGCTAACTTCATGCATAAACATCTATTCGAAAGACTTCAATCCATGACTGTGATTATTAGAGTGTCCCACTGTTCCAGACGGAACACCGCTCCGTCCAACACTCCCACAAAGCACAGAACGTACTAAATCATGTTATTGTGCGAACGTGCTGTTTGACCAGTGGTGTGCAGCCTTGGAGGTTGAGGTATGATGACGATGAGCTACTGCTTTCCTTTGCATTTGTATTTACATTAGATTTGAAGAAGTTGGGTGCCCATGTCCAGGCCTGGAATGTGGATCCTCCCAATGCCCAGCTCCCACGGGGCCTGGCCTGTGCCCGTGACCCCACCCTCCCTCACTTTCTTGGTACCTTGCTCCCCACTGTGGTCCGGAACAGCTTGTTGTTTGGCTTGATGACTTGCTTTGCAGATTTAATCGTGATTGCTGAACCAAAAGGGGAAGGAGGAACTGGATTTTCTTGGAAAAATTTGGCACAGAGATGAAACTGGAAGGAGGAGAGAGGATTTCAATGTCTGAAAGTACTTTCCCACAGGCCTCAGCTGGCACAAGCCAAATAAGTGCTCACAACAAGCCGATCGAACCCAGTGGAAGGTCAAGTGATAACCTCGGCCAATCTCTACAGCAAATCTCAATTCCCCACAGCAGACTGTCCTCACTCGAGATGACCGTAGCTTCTTTCCCAGGAATGAGGGCAGAGAACGTCTATATGTGGGTATCGCTCAAAGGGTCAGGAAAGTGGAAACGTTACAATTCCCATCTCTGTGCCTTGGCTCACGTTGTTTCTGCACCTGGGATCTCCTTTCCCCTACCCCACATTCTCATGCCCACAGATCCAAACCCAACCCACTATTCAAGGTTCTGTTAAAATAGTTTCCAGTCCCACCCTGGTCACAACATCTTCCCTGATGCCCCAGCAGGAATGAATCCCAAGTTCCTCTAAACTATCTTAACCTTTTATTTGTACCTCTCTTAAGACTCGTTACTTTCGCCCTTGCATCAGTTCTTTCTTTAAACGTCGTACCTTTTTTTAGAGTCAACCTCATAATTTTTCTTTTAAATCAGACATTGAGAATCTCCTTCAGGACAGAGCTCCTGCCTGATGCATCCTTGTGTGCCCCCGTGGGCGGAGGGGATCGGAAACTCCCACACTCTGACAGCCTGTGTGCTTAGCGGGGAGACCCTCTGTGCTTCTACATGATTTGCGTTTTGCGCCATCTTCCAGATTGGGCCCTGGGGTAAGCTTGGGGTTGAGTAAACAATTGGTGCATGAACTAATTTTGTAGACAAGGTGCAGGCCACTTCCACGTTGAATTTTCTACCATAAACCAGTTTTAGTAACTGAAGGGGTCCTGGCCTATGATCTATTTATGAGCATTATTGCAAGTGCTCATGCTCACTTGGGAAATGGTTAAAATACTTGAACATCAACAGAGGACCAGGATCTTTTAAAAGAAGGAAAACAAATATGATAGTCAAATCTTCACAAAAATGAAGGCTTAGAAACTCGGATAGAAATGGCGGCTGTGAGGAGGGCTTCCTGAGTTCTCCTTTGGAAATCGCCGCAATTTGAACAGCAATAACTCTTCAAAAGAACCTTTACTCATCACACAGAGCAGCTAAGAGGCTCGCACGACGACTACTTGAAGGTGGGCAGACCGGGCGAGTGGGGGAAGAGGGAGGCGAGATATGTGGAGGCGCAGTCCGCACCCCTGGCTGCTGAGAGTCGGGGCCCCAGAGAGATCAGAAAGCGTTCTCGCGGCTCGCTCCCTAGGCCTCACGGTCCCGGGGAGAGTGCCACAAGAGTGTGACTGTTTGCAGAGGCTGAGGCAGAAGCCTAGGGCCGGGCAAGTGGGGGAAGAGAGAGGAGAAGTGCCTGCAGAGGCAAGGTCCACAACCGTGGCTGTGGAAACACGCGGGACCCTGGGAGGCAGATTGGAGAACATTGCAGCGGCAGGGCAGGCTCAGCCCCTGTGCCCCCACGGTCCCGCGCCAGGAGTACGGCTGAAACGTCTGAGGCAGAAGCCTCAGCTCAAAACAGCGGCGGGACAGTTTTTCTTTTTTTTCCTTTTTTACCTCTTTCTTTTTTTTTCTTTTACTCAGACAGAAAGCAAAAAACAACTGCATAGATAAGAAACCACCCCCACTCTCCCTCCGAAACTCTGGCCCCCGGCCACTCCAGAGTCTTAAACTGACCTCTGAATGGAGGAATAGTGTCAGATTACAGAGGTGCTCCTAATCCCAGGGGGTTGAGGAACTAGGCTGGGAAGAGGCTGCAGAGTGTGGGTCTGCCTACTCTGCCCCCACCTCTCCTGCGCAGCTTGGGAGGCAGGGCAACTTCAGCTGCTGAGTTACTCACAGGACCCCCAGCAGGTGGCTTTTAGCAGCTCTGAAATCTCACCCCCCCCACAGCCTCCAGCGGAAAGAGGGCCCGAAGACGCACATAGACCCTTCTGGCTGCACAGCACTCAGCGTGCCTCTGGGTAGGCGAGAGCAGAAACGGCATTGACTTTGTAAAAACTACCAACCACACCTCATAACCCCAGTCATCTAGACCTGCATCGCTAGGGTCACTCTAGGTGCCAGGTGGCCTGCTCTGCCCCCACAAGACGCAGAGGAGTTTGTGTATAGCAGAGGACAACCTGGGGAGAGCTTGGTGGACTTTAGCCAAGACTGGCACTGGTTTTTCCTTGGTATTTATTTTTTTTTGGTCTGTTGTGTTTTTTTTGGGTGTTTTTTGTTTCCTTGTTTTGGTTGTTTTTGTTTTTTTCTATTTCATTACTAACATGAAATAGTTATATATATCCATATCCATATCCATATATACGGGTGTGTAGACATACATATTTTTTCTCTTTCTCTCTTCCTCTCTTTCTTGTCTCCCCTCTCTCTCTCCCTTCTTTTCTTTCTTTTCCAAGGCTCTACTTTTCCACCTTCTTTCCATTTTTATGCAATTTTTTTTGTTAGTTTTTTTTGTATGTTTGATATTTCAGTGCATGTTTAGTGTTGGTTGTTTTTTACATGTGAGAGTATCTGGTTTCTTTTGGTGGCTGTTGTGGTTGTGCTTGTTGATCTGTTTTGCTCTAAAATTGCTCTGCAGCAGGGCCCAGCCAAAGAGGCTCAAGAATCATCACACCCAGTGGCTAACTTTAGATAAAACCAGAGCATTTCCGGGTTTGACCTACAACAGTCACATCCAAAGGGAAATTGCTACAGGCACAAGAGCCCATAGGGGCCAAGCCTCATCAGAGGGGTCAACCCTCACACAGAGCAGCTCATAAACTGTGGACACAGCTAATCCTCACAGCTAGTCATCCTGGGAGTCAATCCCACCTACTGAAAAGCCAAAAGCAATCAAAACTCAACTTCAACAGGAGAAGACATACAACATAAGGAACACCTCTGGTACACACGCATAGAAGAATAGGGAGATGGAGCAATTCAAATATAAAGGACACATACTACATTAAGTCCACCCAGAAAAGACTGAGTGACCTAGGAGATCTACCTAATACATCGAAGCAAGCACAAAGAGTAAGCCAGAATGGGGAAACAAAGAAACACATCCCAAATAAAAGAACAGAAGAAACCTCCTGAATCAGTGGAACTAGTGGAAATAGAGGTAACCAACCTATCAGAGACAGAGTTCAGAAAACTGATTATTGGAATGTTCAAGGAAATTAATGAAAATATAAAGAAGGATAGAGAAATCATGGAAAACAACCAGCTAGAACTAAAGAATACAATTACTGAAATAAATAACAAACTTGATAGAATTACCAGCAGATTGAATGAAGCAGAGGATCGAATCATCCACTTAGAAGACAACATAGTAGAGATCATCCAAGCGGAACAACAAAAAGAAAAAGGAATAAAAACACTGAAAATAGTTTAAGAGAGCTGGGTGACAACATCAAGCGCAACATGTGCATCATAGGAATACCAGAAGGAGAAGAGAGGGAGCAAGGGATAGAGAACATATTTGAAGTAATAATGACTGAAAACTTCCCTAACCTGGCAAAGGAAATTGACATACAAGCCCAGGAAGTGCAGAGTTCCAACCAAGATGATCCTAAACAGGTCCACACCAAGACACAATATAGTGAAAACATGTTACTAAATAGCGAATGGGTCAAAAATGAGATCAAGGAAAAAATCAAAAGATAACCTCGAGACAAACGAAAATGAAAACACCAAGACCCAAAATCTTTGGGATGCAGCGAAAGCAGTCCTAAGAGGGAAGCTCATGGCAGGGCAGGCCTACCTAAAGAAGCAAGAAAAATCTCAAATCAACAGTTATCCTTATATCTCAGGGAACTGGAAAAAGAACAGCAAAATAAGCCCAAAGGGAGTACAAGGAAGGAGATAATAAAGACCAGAGCGGAAATAAATGAAATAGAGACCAGAAAAACAATACAAAAGATTAATGAAACCAAGAGCTGGTTTTTTGAGAAGATAAACAAAATTGACAAACCTCTAGCCAGACTCATCAAAAAAAAAGTGAGTGAGGACTCAAATTAGTAAAATCAGGAATGAAAGAGGTGAAGTGACAACAGACACCACAGAAATACAAAAAAATTTTAAGAAATTACTATGAGCAATTATATGGCAACAAATTTGACAATATGGAAGAAATGGATAATTTTCTAGAAGCATACAACCTTCCAAAGCTAACGCGAAAAGAAACGGAAAAATCTGAATAGACTGATTACTACCAAGGAAATTGAATAAGTAATCAACAAGCTCCCAACAAACAAAAGCCCTGGACCAGATGGCTTCAAAAGTGAATTTTACCAAACCTTCAAAAAAGAATTATCACCTATTCTTCTCAAACTATTTCAAAAAATCCAGAAGGAGGAAAGGCTCCCAAACTATTTCTATTGAGGCCACTATCACCCTGATTCCAAAACCAGACAAAGACAGTACAAAAAAGGAAAACTACAGGTTGATATCCCTGATGAACATAGATGCAAAAATCCTCAACAAAATATTAGCAAACAGAATTCAGCAATATATTAAGAAGATCATACACCATGATCAAGTGGGGTTCATCCCTAGTACGCAAGGTTGGTTCAATATCTGCAAATCAATTAATGTGATACACCACATTAACAAAATGAAAAATAAAAATCATATGGTCATATCAATAGATGCAGGAAAAGCATTTGACAAAATCCAGAAGCCATTTATGATAAAAACTCTTAGCAAAGTGGGAATAGAGGGATCATATCTCAACATAATAAAGGCCATATATGATAAACCCACAGCTAACATCATACTCAATGGGGAAAAGCTAAAACTATTCCCCTTAAGGTCAGGAACAAGACAAGGCCACTTTCTCCACTTTCATTCAACATAGTTCTAGCCACAGCAATCAGACATGAAAAAGAAATAAAAGGCATCCAAATTGGTAAGAAGGAAGTAAAATTGTCATTATATGCAGATGACATGACACTATATATAGAGAACCCCAAAGATTCCATCAAA